TATATATATATATATATAAGTATATATATATGGATATGTATATATATATATAGAAACTAATATAACTCTTTCCGTCGTTATCTGCAGTGGAATTGACGTCGCAGTGTACACCCGCTACGAGTCAAGAGACATTGGCAAATCTATCTGCTTTCGCCGAGAAACTGGCTCCAACTGTTTACCTGGAGCCCGTGGCGTACAATCAACTACAAAAACCAACAACACAGACCTCAGCAACAAGGACGAAATCAACCACTAAACTTTAGACTATATAAATACTGCTGGGTGCCTACAATAAGTTTTTATGATTGCTCTTATAAGGGACAAATTCAGGCATATACCGTTCGTAACATGAAGCGCACACTTGTGGATGATGCTCTGTGAGATTGTAAGGAGACAGTGAGTCGATAGAGTGAACAGACACCCCAAAAATACTGAGCTAAAATAAAACAACGGTGTTGTATTTTATATAAATATTTTTAACAAAATAAATTGCCTTTTCAGAAGGAGGAGCCTAATAAAACATTCAGCCGCGGAATGCACAAGCTCTAACAAATAAAACATTACCTAGTTATAAACAAAATTTTAAGGGGAAAAAGAAACACGATTTCTATTTTGTTTTTAAAAACAAAAAACAAAACAACCCAAAAATTAATTGGCTTCTTCTCTTTCCAATCAAAACAACAAGAGTGTTCTTTTTTCAGAGAAGGCTATGAAACGCGAAACAGAAAAATTGGGATTATGTCGTTGGGTGGAAAAACGGAACAACTCCGTACTACGTCTACGTAAATTCGTCCCACTCATTGAAATGAGTCATTCTACTTTTACTCACAAGAAGTCACGGCCGAATTCCAATTAATTGCCCAAGCGTCTGTGAAAATGTACGCGTGGTGGGAAAACGTACTTGTGTGGTTTGTTTGTTTTGATTGAAAATATTTTTCGCTTCACCACACACACGCTCGGACTCTCGGCCTCGTATTCACACACATCAGCGGAGAGAGAGAAAAGAAAAATAAATACTGAAAACTCGACCGGTACAAAAAGCTCTTCCAATTTGATCAGAAATTTTCAGACGTACACATAGAAGTAGTTTGTCAATCCTTTATACTGCAATAATGGGGAACGTATTCGGCTCCCTTTTCAAGGGTCTCTTCGGAAAGAAGGAGATGAGAATTCTTATGGTATGGTATCCGAAAGTAGTTATTAATATTCTCTAACCTTTGCTGTTCAATCATACATATTGGCACTGATTGTGGATGGTCCAAGCCGATATCCTGTGTTGGTGTCTCATAGTCCAGGCTTGCACACAAACGCTTGGAAACATCATACCTATCTGAGCTTTTTAGTCGTAGTTTTTGGGCTGCTGTGAGATTTTGGTTCTTCTCACAGTAACAGGAAATGTATATTCATTGATTTAACTATGACTCTCACTTGCAGGTAGGATTGGATGCCGCCGGTAAGACCACTATTCTTTATAAGGTAAGCAAGATTATAAGGGAATTTTCGCCATGAATATGACATATCTGGGAAGGAAGTCTTTATGTTATTGTATCAGACCCCTAGAATTTTATTTTTCTTTGCTTGTAGGTTCAAACGGCTTTAGCCAAATGCTTCTTATTGTTTTCTGGCGGGTTGACTGTCTCTTTCAATTCTACAACTTGCCTAACGACTTTAGCCAAATTCTTCTTATTGTTTTCTGGCGTGTCGACTTTCTCATTCCAATTCTACAACTTGCCTATCGCAGCTCAAATTGGGAGAAATTGTGACCACTATTCCCACAATCGGTATGTACGGTGCCCTTGGCAATGGTGGTTGTATTCCTGCGTGTATGTGAGTGTGTTTAATATAGTTTAATACTATCTGCAGACGGTACACATAAGCTGACGACGTTGCGCATATGCCCCTTCATTATTCTAGGTTTCAACGTTGAGACTGTCGAGTACAAAAACATCAGTTTTACTGTGTGGGATGTTGGAGGTCAGGACAAGATTCGTCCTCTTTGGAGACACTACTTCCAAAACACACAGGTATTGTTCATAGTAGAACAGCGTATGATTTTGATCGTTATTTTTTACATAGCAACTGGTGGATACATTATCCAAGTTAATTATTCCTATCCTGTCCTATGTTACGAAGTTCTCTAAGCAACGAATTCTGAATCTGATTTTCAGGGTTTGATCTTCGTAATTGATTCCAATGATCGTGATCGTGTAGGAGAGGCCCGCGAGGAGCTTCTGCGCATGTTGGCCGAGGTATGTGTTTTCTACTTGATTTGAGACGTGAGTTTATCAAGCGAATTTAATTTCGAAATCGCACATGGAATACGTTGTACAAGCTTTTACCGTGTCGAAATATGTCGGAACAAGGCTGACTTTCTGGAGAGTAGTACGTTAGCGACTTGTACTCTTTGGGTTGACTGTCTTATAGTAAGTATGCCAAGGAACTGCTGTCTACTGAAAGGTTACTGTTCGCTAATGTAACTACCGGCTGGTATATTAATTTCGTGCAGGATGAACTTCGTGACGCGGTTCTTCTAGTATTTGCTAATAAGCAAGATTTGCCCAACGCGATGAATGCTGCCGAAATCACCGATAAACTTGGTCTACACTCTTTACGTAATCGCAACTGGGTATGTGGTTTGATATATAGTGTGCAAATATCGAAGCGCCTCCATGTTGTAGTCTTTGAATGGTATTTACCCAGTAAACCTGCTGAATTTTGATGTTTCGGCAATGACAGCACTCGTAATCAAACTCTGACTTTAGAATGTCACTTGCTTACTACATCCATTATTGTTTTCTGTTGGGCTCTTTAGTACATTCAAGCTACGTGTGCGACGAGTGGTGACGGACTATACGAAGGACTCGACTGGCTTGCGCAGCAATTAAAGAACGTCACGTAAATTCTCAAATACTGGAGTCAGCTGCTTGAAATTGGTACACTCATGCGCAACGGAGTATAGTTGTGCCGAGGGTTTTCAAGTGGCTTTCACCCGTATGCTTTCAGTGAGTGGCTTGGTGCCGTTAATGACGCCTCGCACCTCGTAAACCAGATATTTAAAGTACATGTCAAATAAATAGGGTATCTGTAATTTTTTCTCTACTTGCAAGGTTCACGCATGAATAGTGTGAATCCAATGCTAGTTGTAACAAACTAATCTACACAGGAAGAATTGCTCAAATCATTTGTCCATTTGTGATAAGAGTACCTAGTTATAGTGATCCTGTTCGATTTTGCACGCGCTAAAAGCTGCTTGTGTGTATCCAGTATCATAGCCTTCTGAAAGGACAATTCTCTTACTAAAAATCAGTTTTTAAAACATCCTGCACAAACATATTTAGAATTCAGTTTTTACGTATAATTTCTCTAGGCCTTCTATTTTGTACTCTTAGAATACAGGCATATATGCAATTAGTATCCAGTAATACGTGCATATTTAGCATCGAAACTGTGTGTATAATGTAAATACTACGCACTTCTGGGAACGCCATAGCCTCCTAAAAAGAACAGGAGGATATGGTAATGCTTTCAAACAAATTCTTCGCATCTCTTGGGAGTACTTGAAGGATGTTGAGTGTACCACAGACAAGCTGTATGATATATGTATCAATACTTAATGTTTTATAGTTCATATTATTTACTTTATGGAAGTGGAAAACTGACTTTATATTTCATATTATTCACTTTATGGAGGGAAAACTGAAAACTGAAAACTCGGAGTGTGGACTGCGAACTGTGAAGTTTGATTGTTTGAACAATGGCGATTGGAGCAAGGCTAACCAATAAACCATCATAGCCATTGACGTTTCTGCGTTTCACGGTTTCAGACTTTCAAACGACAGAAACTAAATATTTAGAAACTGAAAGTTGTTTCAGAATTATTTTTGTTTCAAAAAATAAATAAAACTCGAACGGAAAATGAAAAATCCGAAAATGCCACAGCAGGGAATAATTTGGTTGGTCATTTCAGATATGCAGGAGAAGACCGAAACATCCAATGGGATGTGGCAGGTGTTGGGTTCTTTATTTTCCGTTCTGGTATGCAATCTAGCAATCATGCATAGCACAACTATGCAAGGGCGAAAGGTCTTGATGTAGATTCAGACACTTGTAGTAATCTGCGAGAGCACTTTGTGCATCTGAATGGATGCTTCCAGACATGAGACTTCTTTTGATGATCTGAATTGCCAATATTTTAAGGCCAACTTTATAGACTTGCACTTCATACTTCAGGCTTTCATAAAAGCTTATTACGAATATCGTAGCTATCGGAGAAAATGAACTTAATGCCAACCAGTCGAAATTATGAGCGCATCTCAATCCTCCATAGGGGCAGGTTTGGGTGGTATGTATCATCAGCAATAAAGGTTGCTTATTTCTACTAAACTTTATAATAGGTAGGCTAAATGTGGGGCATAGAGTTGGTGACTACATAGACGAGAATAAGAAAGAGACATCGATCGTTGCGGCATGAGCCTGCTTTAGTAAGCAATAAGAGACCATGAGATGGCTTCCAAGGAGATACCGGCCTGTCGCTCAGTTGTCGGCGTTGTAATATTACACTTTCCAATATTGTCTTACTCACAAACACCTATCAATTTTTTTTTGTACAGTGTTCTTTTAGTTCGATCAAGAGCGAGTAACAAACTGTACGCGGTGAAGCAGTCAAACCTGTCTAATCAGACAGAGGAGGATCGACTTCGTATTCTCTCCGAAGTTGACATCATTTGCAAATTGCATCATCCACACATCGCGAGATGTAAAGAAGCCCAGCTCCTTTTTGGCTCGCTCTGGCTGGTGCTGGAATATGCTCCTGGAGGTAACATTTTAACTGATTCGTCACAACTGCTCCAATTCAGCAATGTCCAAGCCGCAATCTTGATTCACATTAGATTTCATTTCTCTCACTTATACTAGGTGACTTGAAACATTTCCTACGCCAGAATGATGTTGCCCAATTTCCACTGTCAGAGTCGGTAAGTACGTTTCTTATTTCGCATGTGCAGTCATACACCGATTGCCGCAAGATTTTTGCTCTGATACTAACCAAATAACATAAATCTCCAGGCGCTTTTGCGATTTTCGATTCAACTCAGTAGCGCGCTGGCATACATACACAAGAAAGGATTTGTGCATCGAGGTATTAAATTGGTTTTGTTTGCAACTTATTTTTTCTTATGTACTTTCTTTCTTTTCCTAAAAAAAAACAACAGAAAACAAATGCCAGATGGCATGCGAGTTTTGTGTGTTGGGTTACTCAATATAAACTCGCATCACTTTCCTTCCCACACTTTTTGACAGATATCAAGAGTGCCAACAGTTTTTCAACTTATTTTTTCCTATGTACTTTCTTTCTTTTCCTAAAAAACAAACAAACAGAAAACAAATGCCAGATGGCATGCGAGTTTTGTGTGTTGGGTTACTCAATATAAACTCGCATCACTTTCCTTCCCCACACTTTTTGACAGATATCAAGAGTGCCAACATCTTGGTATTTGACAAACTGCGCTTAAAAATTGGCGATTTTGGGATGGCGAAACAACCAATGGACAGGAGCATGCTCAACACCTTGGTTGGCACGCCGGAATATCTCTCTCCTGAAATGTGCAGAGGCGAGCCTTATAATTCTAAAACCGATGTGTGGTCACTAGGTTGTGTGCTTTCCGAGATAGCGAATGGGAAGCCCCCATACAAAGGCACGAACTTATCCGCGGTTATGACCGAGATTTGTTCGGGCGATGCTCCTTATTGCAGAACCGAATACTCACTGTGGATCATCGGCCTTATCCGCAGTATGATGCATCCCTACCAAAGTATTCGTCCTGAAGCGGTGAGTATGGTTCTCTCACATTTCAGACTTTCCGTACACCTACACGTATGTATTCCAAATTAGCAGTTCACATCGACCCAACTTCATACTCTACAGATGGCAATTGAGGAATTGTTCCGTGCTGGTCAAAGTGGGGACCCCGAGGTGGTCAATCTACAATACGATGATGTGCATGTGACGGGTCCACCATCCACGCCGGAGCTGGACAGTCCGACTTATCGCCCTGCAGGTAAAACAAAAGTGCAGAAAGTGTCCCACATTCGCTCAAATGCAAGACTGAGCAGGCATTCGGATCTTTTTATTTGACAATGAATTGAACAACTGTTATGTAAATCCCATTGCAGCTCAAAACAAACTCAACAGATGTAACACCGCTAAATTTTTCTCTCTAGCCACCCGCGGTTCAGATCTTTCCGGATTTAGCACGGCGAAGAGCTCGCAAGATAGTCTTGCCCCCATTTATAGAAAATGTAAGTGACCGCTCGCTTCTTACCTCGCAAGATCTTAGCAATGTTGGATATCACTACACCAGGGTAGTACTGAATTATATTACTGACTTTTACGTTTTCCTTGTTGTTTCCAGCTAAATCGACCACAGCGATCACTTCAGGGGGAGGCGGTGAAATACAACAGGGAAAGAGCCACACTAGCATCGGTGCAAAGAAGGGGCATAGCATCAAGAAGAAAATACAGAAAACGTTGCGGCCTACTAAAGAGAACAACGCTAGCGGAAAGAAGAGGAATACGTCTCATGATGAGAACATCGTGGCAGATTACGAGAAGAATATTAACACTCTAGCGGACAATACACACAACGGGCACCAGTATGTTCATCAAACACACTCCGGCTCAGTGCACGTATCCGTGGGGAATGCTAGGTACAAAATTCCAAAAAGCACAGGCCAGTCAGCCCCCCAATACGCTTCAACAGTTGTGGGATCTACCGAGGACAACGAAATCTATGGTTTACTCTTTGGTGGCTTTGAGGGCGACCAGGGTTCAGAAATGACGGACGAATCCACATACACAAAGCTTAGAGTCAATTTAAAATCTGACTACAAACAGAAGAGGCAGGTAGGGAAACCCTCGACCACTTTATCTAATCGGGCGCACCTCCGTACTGGTCGTGATTATTCAACAAATCAAGCAGCTACTTTTGCACCACACAGTTCATCGACATCTGAATTCTATAACAACAACACCATCGATCATGATGAGTACATGAATGCGAGCACTCAGTCGGAAACGGTGAATGAGTTGCATAGTACGAAATCTGCACAACCATCCAGCAAACCCACTCTAAATGAAAACTGCTCACTCGCCCCCGAGGTTGACGCAAACTATCTGGTATGGAAGGATGTGAAAGATGGCCAGGCTGTACACGTGTCGAGATCGACGTCTTTCCCAGGCTCAAGATCTAATGAGAGCTTTTGTAAGCGTTCCAATACTGGTCATTCCATTAGACTCAATTTCGATCTGCGTGAGCCACACAGACGATCGTCGCATCGTGTGCGTGCTGATAGATTGTCTCAAGACGAGTTCAATCCTGTCCTCGAAAAGGAAACCACACCTTCACGCCTCCCGCCGCAGCATCACTCGGATATGGCAACCGCGCAGGTATCGGGTGCCACAAAAAACAATGGTGACGAGTCAACCACTTTGCCCACGCCAAAAGACAGCACGAACACCGCCTCGAGTCGCACCTCCCTTCGATCTGAGAGATCCTCAACACAGTCTAACCATACGAATGTGACCACGTTTACAGCGTTTCGGAAGACAATATCCGGAATGGAGAAACATGAAGACCACGACACTCCAGCCCCAACGTATGAGAACCTCACGCGAGTACGTGTTGTGCATCGAAGTGATCCGTTGCCGGCCCAAGAAAGAAAGGAAGACAACAATAATCACAAGGCTCAGGGAAAATTTCCACCTCGGTACGCTTCTCAAGAAGCATCTGCCAATCGAGAGAGTCGCGTTTATTCTAGGGTGAAGCACATAGAGGAAGAGGAGAGACGGTTTCAGACACAACTGCAAGCAGATAGAGCAGGAGAGCACCCAAATCAAGATAAGTCTACGAATCCGTTGTTGAGCGTTCGCAGACAGTCCGAATTTCAACAGTCTCTCGACAAAAACGGTGCTGGTGGCAGCGTAGAGCCCTCTACATACTTATCTTCCGACGAAAACTCAGACGAATACTACGATCCAGAAATTGAGCTCTGCGATCGATGTGGTGGGGATCACCTACCTCACCAATGCAGCTCTCGTATAGCAATGGAATCAAAGGGCAAATTTCTGGAACCTCGTTCGATTCGAGCCCACAAAGACAACCTACCGATAGAAAACACTACGAAAGAGGTACGGGAGGCCAGACGTCAAGCACCTCATTGTAGTATCGACACTCCGAGCTACACAGGTAACCTAGAAGCGAGGCGGAAGATAACAAAAGACACAAACAACTCCGATGATCTCGAGATGAAGGAGACCGACTCGACTAAATTTGAGTCACAGCAACATCTTCCTCGCCAGGAAACTACAGCACATCCTCCCCGGGGCCGCGTGCTTAAACCAAGATCCGCACGGATACCACACGGTAAGCATTCTGTGTCCGTAACTCAAGAGTATCCTAGTCAGGACGCCAATTATCCTCCTCCAAGTGCTCGCCCTAATTCACGCTCCGTCACGCGCAATCATGGAAGGCGAGTTAACAAAGCAAGTACAAAGAGAGAAGAGGAGCTTGATGGGCAACATATCCAACAGTCGCGTGTAAGCATCCGCAATTCTCAACAGCCACCGCAATGTGGTGACTCGCACGTAAAAACACGCAAGGATTCGTCAGAACATGGCAAGTATCTGGAATCTGAAGGGATCTCGCACTCAGATCACCATCAAGAAACTCAGTCAGCTATCAAGCGAGGTGAGGCTGCAAGCAGAGGAGCGGAGGAAGATCGACTCGAAGGTGTTATGGGTTCAATGGCCGGAGATCTCGTGCAATCCGATGCCCCACGACCGGCACGTTCGGAAAGAACTCGACGTCATAATTCTTCATATCAAAACAGACCCAAACATTCGGAGCACAGCTACAGTGGCCTAGATGCTATTCAGCCCGAATCACCAGAATTGTACAAATATATGTGTGATAGTATGGGAGAAGACAAGGTACTCAGCGCGATAGCTTTTCTGCGAGGCTTGCCGGGCTCAATCTTTGGCAACGACCCACTGACAAAAGCCGTTCTCAAGGTCAGTCTGGTTTGTATCATTTTCGCAAAGCATGCCATGAACTTTCTCACTTCATTTAACGCATCTTGGTATGTAATATTCAATACAGCTTATATTCTTCGTCACAGGTACTTGTTTCAATTATTGGGGAGGAGAACGAGTTTCTCGGTCCTTTGCTGTTAGAAATGATAGTTCCCGGAGTCCAGCATGGCTGAAGCTGCCTATGTGCTAACTTTTTTTCACCCTCAAATAATAGCCTTTGAACTAACATAAACTCGTATTCGGGCATACCAGATGTAAATAAGTTGAAAAGACCATTGTAGTTGCATTAAAGACTTGACCACATTATTTTATATAACTACTTGATTGGATAAGTTATTGAAAGTGCTAGGACACTCACCGTGTCCCTAGATTAGTTTGTTTCAAGCAGCAGGGAAGGCAAGTAGGGGGCGATCAAACACATACAATGCGAGTCAGAGTCAGTTGCTTCAAATTTAGTTCAAATGTCGAATTAGAACATTGATAGTATGGGCCACGATAACAACATAACAGGACACATACTGTGGCTCAGAGAAGTCAAGCCTTTCGGTACTGTGGAATATACAACAGTAGATAGTAATAAATATATAAAACGTAGCCGTTTCAGCTTTCCATTGAGCACGCCTGTAATATCACACCCTATCTACAATCTAGAGTCAATGTTCCGACGGAAAGAAGAAAGATTCAACACCCATCATACACAAGCTAGTGGAATACTTCGGGATATTTAATAAGGAAAAACCGCTCGCCCCTCCAGTATTTGTATTTTTTGGACGAGCATACGAAAATTTGGGCGCCGAACCAAACATAATAGAGAATGGGTAGTGGGAAACGGAAATGTTCAAGGTAGATATTTCCACCAATTTTACTGCTGGATTGGTGATACTATGCAGCTTTCTTTTCCTTGCCCTTGTCATTTGACCTTGATTGCGGCATCCTGTGCCTCAGGCCATCAGCACCGCCGGCAGTCCCATGAGCTGATTGGTCAGCGACCGCATCTTTGGGTGCACTGGCTTTGAAGAATTTAGAGGCTGTGACAATGGAATACAAAAAAATAATCAGTGATGAGGTATTGTATGGTATGAATATATGGACAAAAGGGTTAGATGATAGCTTCTTCAAAATGTCGGAGGCAACACACTCAGCGAGAAATTAATCGGTACTCGCGCGCGCTGGAATTCAATCAACAAATCGACGATCCATATTACCCTCTTAACGCACACAAATCGATAAGGTACTCACGTAGAGGTGGCGGATGCACGAATAGGTGGTGCATAGCAGCGTGCCTTTGAATGACTCGATCTATGTCGCTCTGTATAGCTCGGATTGCGCGGAAACGAGCCCTGAACCGTGCTTCTTCAGCAATGACGACAGTCCATATCTCTTCGAGTGACATATCTGGTGTGAGAGTTGCAAAAAGTAAATTGTAGGTTACAAATTGATTTGAATACATCGCAATACATCAACGAACCAAGCGATAATTCCAAGCATCTATCTAGCACCATCAGCAGTCGGATTAAATGTCACTTTTACATTTGCCCAAGAACTGGAACAAGTGCATATCGTGGCGACATCTTGGATGACCGCACTTACTCTCGCAATTGTATGATGGCTGCGGTTGGCTGAACATATGAGTGAGATCCGTCATTGAGGTCGGTGCGACTGGTGGTGCACCGTCGAATAATGGCACTTGCGCCACATTGAATACACCCGCAGGAGGTAACGAAGCGGGTAAAAGTTCTCTAGTCACACCTATTGATGAATAGGAAGAATTTACGCACGAATCTTGATAAGTAGTTCGGACTACTTGTGCATCACGACCAGTTAAAGTTGCACATGTGGCTCGGGAGTATCGGTCTCATGCGCCAATGTCGTACTAGGCAATACGGCGTAGGGTGTCCTTTCGTACCGTCAACATGACAACATGATGAACTTCACTTTCTTCCACATTATGTTCCAGCGAATAATTCGCAGTCATACACCATGCCCACTCATACCTCCATCAAAGTGACATAGTGAATGAACATATACTATATCAGAAGGCTCCGGATGAGGTTGCAGACCAAATTCAGCCATAACGGGCAATTCGAACGTAAAGGATTGAAAATAGATTGCGAACGCTACAGATACGCCACACGATTATGTGCGAACTATAACTTGACAGATCACGAAAGCTAAAATAGGAACAAACACAAGAATTGCAGCGGAAACGACCTTGAAGTGGAGTGGAGCCCATGGATGAACGATCATACGGCCCTTGATTGGTTTGCGGCGCTAAGTGGGGCACATCTTGAGGTTGGGCTGTGACGTGGGGAATTCCATTAAGCTGCACATGATGCGGAAGATTGAGTCGTATGCGCTCAGATTCCAGGACCGGGGATCGGCAGATGGGGCATATCTGCTGTCTTTGGAGCCACGACCTAAGCATTCCGTAATATATGAATTATGAGCAAGCTGTAAAAAAAGCGAAGTCGGGGTCAACGCGATTGTAAGGTACATTCTGACACATTAATGATTGAATGTTCCCAATTGTATCTAAACTTTCACTTGCAAAATATCACACCGTGAATACTACGATGTCGATGAGTGGACACGGCGCTCATACAACGCTTAAAAAAACATTTACAGAATAAATCTCCTGTAACCCAACCGTCCTAGGAAATGATTATTAAAGCACGCTGTGAATACGATTGGATGTGTCCCGATATAAATCGAAATTGGCCTACCGCAGACAGTGGATGTGGAATATGTGGCCACACGGCAGTCGCTTTGCCGTGTCCATAATTTCTCTGCAAATGACACAAGTGTGATCTGCAGCTTCTAGTTCTTGTTGAGTTGCTGCCGGGTATCTGGGATCGACAAAGATGCAAAACTTGTTAGTATTTATGGTTGTAAACCAGATCCCATGTGCGTCACCTTTCCATGCATTCCTCAGCTATAAAAGGAACCAGTCAATCGGCAAATCGCACATAAATTCAAGGTAGTGCGTACGACGCAGTTCAATAGTCGAATTTAGAATGCGTGCCACGAGATGTATTGGTGAATACCTTATGTTCATATTGTTAGTGGCCTCTCGGAAGCGGAGCATTTCAGCCAGTCGTTGTGTGAAAGACTTGGAAGAGATGTACAATCCACGGATGATGTGCAGAGGAAGTCCGTAGAAGCTCATGATCACCGAGAAGAAGCATGTGAATATCAACATGCGCACGAAGTCCATGCATAAGCCCAAATAGAACAAGTACACTTGCCTGCGATGGGTGGCGTACAAGCATGTGAGTTTTCCGGACAGTTTAAACGATAAAAAAAACCTAGCAGTCTTGTATCGCCCTTTTTTTCATCTGTGACTTGACTGCTTTCTGATCATTATAAGATTCTATCGAAAGATACGAAAATATGAAATTGTCGACATAAAATTTTAAGATACACTACAAATTTGTGAACGAAGTTGTTCATCTTATCAGCAGTTTTAAACTGCTAAGACGAAAGTTGAACAGAAGAGGACTAACACACCTGTCATGTGTTGAAGTGATATTGTAGCGCTCGCAAAGATTTAATGTATACTTAGCCATCGAATATAGCACCGAAGTCGTCAGCAATAGATATTCGAAGCCAAACATAAATTGCGCGCTCGGCCCATGTTCCAGCGAGGAATGTATAGCGTAAGCTATCATCCCGCAATCCAATACGGCCAGCAGCGATAAAACAGCGCAGATACGTATATGGTATAAGCGGCCCTGCACAATGGTTATCCAAGTGAATGATGAGTAAAAAACTTGATTTTTCTCTTCGGCATGCCTAGCGTTGAACAATGCCAGTTAAAAACACGAATAGATGAGTGCGGGTGACACGGCCGACACACACAGATAGGCACACATTTCAAACTCAAATTCAAACTCATCCATGGGTATGTCTTGATAAATACACCAGTTATACTGGAAAAATCCGAGGTAGACAGAAATAATCTAAAACAGGGACAAACACGACATGTATCAGAATGATATGTATCCCAAAGTCTCGAGATAGGGGGGGAAAAGGCTTGCAGGTGAGAAGTGGGTGAAAACAATGAGAAGATATAAATTACAGCCATGCGATGCACCCTTCACACAAAAAACCTATATACAAAGCGAGGCTCCTACTACTATTGTCCTTCGAGTTTTGGTGCAGGTATCAAGTTCAGATCTCGAATATTACTAACAACAAACCACGATACTAAAGACCAATCTCACAATATATACAGCTAAAATGATACAATACACCAGTTTTTGCACATTCGGACTTGTACAGAGATCAGAAGATGCGTGCAGGAACGGAAATAACTAATGGTAGCCGACGTTCAAACATAAATGCCCTTTGCGCATATTACCAAAATTACGACCTCAACGGTGTGTAAGTGGGCCTTTGTATTCACAAGTTGTATACATAACGCAATCGACATGTATTTATAACACAACAATAAAAACTTCAAATACTTGGAATATAATTTCCATCTATGCAAGGGGGGTTTTATATCTATATACTTTTTTTGCTCCCTTGCTAGTACAAACATACATTCCAACAATAAAGGTCTCCGTTGGTGCAAGGCTAAATGGTCTCCGTTGGTGCAATGCATGCAATGAATACAGAGTGCCAGAGACATATACACCTGCAAATTATAGAACCCAGCATATACAGCGAAACACAAACAACTAAAGGTGGAATCGGAGAAAGTAAAACGATTGTGTCAGCAGACATACAAGCCGACATGTTGAGTTCTTGGGACCCACGTGAAATACATACCGGATTTGGCACCTGCTCCATGTACAACAACCGTGTTGAGAGTAGCGCATGCGAAAGCTGGACAATGTGCAGGATGATTAGCATCGCCACAAACATAGGTGCAAACTCCTCTCGGAACACGGAGATGGCTAGGCAGGCCTCCGTGACTCCAAACCACGCCATCTCATACAGCATAGCAGCTTCCACGGGTCTTATAGAACCGAATAACATGCATGTGGTTATGTATGTACATACAATACCCACGACGAATGCTTGATTGCATAGCAGCATTACAGTTGCTGTGTGATTGATTAGCCGTACGGCAGTTGGAAAATATTGGTAGTCATGGTACGTGTGTGCGTTTGCTATCACTGCGACTGTTACCAGCGTGCTGCCTATACAATAGAGACGCATATTCCAAAGAGCGGATAGCATTTTTTAGGTGACTTGCTGGTTATCTGTGTATATATCTCAGGCTTCAGCTATAATATATTCTTATACTGTGTAGTGTGTTCATTTTATCGGATATATCGAAGGTGAAGTTCTGAAAGTAGTTGAATATACACTAAAGGTGCCGCCTAGAGAACTCGCACATTTTATCAGCCTAAGACCTTTCACTCTGTGGATGGATGATTATAAATGGTAGTCGTGTGTTGACTAGAAGATAGACCATCTGTGGTATATAACGAGCTTGAATGCGTGTGCAAACGACGAATGCGTTTAAATATGTATATTAGGAGTTTACAGGAGTTTACATATTTACTTCTTGTGGATCCGTAATCTACAAAAGATCGTAAAAAGTTGACATTTTGAGGTTGTTTCGATTGGCATGATGATGACACCCATTTCATTTACTCTCGCACCACCGGTCCGAATATTTTGGACATTATTTGTCCTCATTAGTTATAAATATCCAAAACTAAAATAAATTTCCAAAACGACCATAAGTGCAATAAAACAGCTGCCTTGAAAAATACACATTTTTGAATAGGAATCTTGGTCAAGTTCATACCACACACCACACCATAACTGTCTTACATCCCCTTATACTTATATACCGTGTAGGTGGCAGTACTGAAAAAGAGCTTTTCATAAGTTTGAAGTCATGCTACTGTCGTTCCTCCGTACGGCTCAGCGCAGCGCAGTCTCAAAACGGTATGAGTGGATATAAATTGTCACTCAGTACTGCAAGAAACGAGTGAAAATCTATATTCTTACACACATACTTGCAGAGAATATATGTATATGTATGTTTCAATTCAAGGTTACAAGTCTCTCCATATATATATATATATATATATATATATATATATATATATATATATATATATATATACTACTATA